TTACTAAATGATTGAATGTGCCTGTGTACCATTAGCATTAATATAGTACATAATACGGTGTAGTGTGTACTATTTGTACTATACACTATTTCTATATTAATTTATCGTGCATTGCTGGGAAGGCTGTTAATTTAGGATAGAGTTATTGTGGCACTTATATCAGTTTGCTCTTTTGCAGTTGTTCTCACACTGCTAAGTAAAAGTTTTACAACTTAAAAGCAAATTTAAAATTATTCTACACAGCCCACCTGTATAACATCAACCCAGGAAGTTAAGTTATTAAAGGCAAAGCAGCGTGTACGAAACCATAATATCAAAACTTCCTTTTCTCTAGATCTCTTAAAATATTGTACTAAGAACTAAAACAAATTCAATTAGGAATTGAAAGCAGTCTTCATTACGAAATTTAATACACATATGACTCGCTCCATGCACGAACAAAATTAAAATAATAGACCGAATAGAAATTACATCAAAGATCAATTAACAAGTATATTAATTGAGTGTATCATTAATTAAGTCCTCCAAATCCAGAGCACTGGAAGAGAGAGCTGGGTTGAGTGATAAGTGAAGAAGTGAAGAAAGCTCATTATAATGATTACGTGCACATGTTACATGCTAGTGGAATGAGTAATACTCATTGAGTATACTAGTATAGATACACCTGTAGGTACTTCAAGTGGCTTTCCAGAGGCTGATGAAGAGGGTGATGGGCTTATATTACAGTATTTCGGTTGTAGTTGGAGCTAGGAGAGAAAGCATAGAGGTATACATGAGAAGTTATCCGTCTGCTGAGACTGCTGTTGGCACGGCAAGACACTGATATATTTCACATTCCTTGCTGTTGGATGTTCTTCTCTTCAAAAAATCCGGTCACCATCCTCACGCACTCACTAGATGATTTAGTTGCTACAGGAACTGGCAGGCGATTATTAATCTTCGTTGCTGGCTCTATTTTCCTAAAGAGTGGAGAAATGGTAACAGGCTTTACTCCCTATTCCACCCACTGACCGGTCTCCTCAAACACATCTAGCTCATACCCCAGGTTTTTCTCAAACTTCTTTTTCTTTTCTATAGTAGACCTGTTTCTCATAAGATATATGAATGTAACAGCAGGAATTTCATCCCCGACATGTTATATAATGAATATCTGTACCTATTAAGCTCGTTCCTTGTGATTTTGCTCACAAATTGATGTGTTTATTCTATTCCGTAGCAGCTGTGCGCAAATATCCAACAGATGAAATATATCTAATGGATTTTTAAAAGTCACGACATGATATCTGTCAAATAAGATGTACTTATGGATTACTGGGCGACGCTCAGCCAGCACTGTCATTCCACCGAATCTCTATCTATGATTATGGACATAAATATAATAGCCTGAGGTCCCCAGGTAACTTTTGGCTTAACTTGGTTACAGGATGGTCTCTAGGGTTGGATTTCACAGTTTAAACTTTGTGGTGCCACAGCTCATCGAAGCTTATGAGGCCGCCGGATTTGATGAATTGCGGGATCTCCGGTTTTGAAGAGTCTGCCAGCTTTCCTCCGTATGGTGGCAGCATACCAGGGAACTGCTTCTCGGCATAGCGGGCCACTTGGGGAGCAAAGTCCACAACAGATATTGACAGAATATGCTGCCATGAACTAAGGAACTGAACGTAATCCGATGCCCCTTCATGCAGGTAGAGGACCTTAAACCCTACACATATTCATGTGGACACATAACTGTGAGAAGTCCACCACTCTTCCCAGCAATCTGTACAAACTTTTTAGTGAACGAATAGTGATCTGTGTTGTGTTCATGATCTTACCATGAATCAGGTTGAGAATGAGTTATCTGCCTCGGGGTTGCCCTTACAATATCCAACAAGGGGTGATTCAACTGTAGAGCGTATGCTAAAACATGCGATGGAAAACAAACGCATTCCACTGAGTGTAATCCACTCGTGTGTAAGACGGAATGTCAGTCAAATCCCTGTCAAAACGTATTCCCTCCAAGAAAATCTGCACCCACTGTAACCAGGGCAGGTGGTTACAGAAGGAGGCAGTGACGACTGTTGACATACATGTTAAGTTCTGTTTCACCTGTCAGACTCCATATCGATACACAGATGTCTCGGAAGGGGTGTTCACTGTTCAATAACAACAACCATACAATTGTAGACTGTCAGCTTCTGGAAACCATCTTCACCAGACTGGCATTGTTTGTTGCTACTGTGGAGTCAATACTTCTTTATGGTTCTGAAACGTGGACGGTGACAGAGCAATTGAAGAAACGCATTGATGGCTGCTACACTAGAATGCTAAGGATGGCACTAAATGTGGATTGGAAGCAGCGCAAAACCAACAAAGAAGTCTATGGCAACCTACCGAGAGCAACCATGAAGATCCAAGAGCGCAGGATGCGACTAGCAGGCCATATCCACCGGCACCCAGAACTAGTCGCAAACCGCTTGCTACTCTGGGAACCAACTCATGGGGTACGGAGTAGGGGGAGACCAGCCATGACTTATGTTGATAGCCCACGAGCTGACACGGGTCTCAACGACACTGGAGAAATGAGCGGACTTATGGCGGATAGAGTTCTATCCAGAGACAGCGCATCAATACTTGGACGCTGAAGCCGCCTTAAGCCCACATCCAGAAAGTTAAAAATTTCCTCGCAGATACACATTTTCTGTTTTCTGTGGCCCGCTCGCTTCGCTCGCAAATTTTCCTTTTTTGCAATGTCGGCGAGTGAAGCAAGACGGCCTTAAGCATTCGGAGCTAGGCCCCAGAAAATTTTTTTGCGTTTTTGCTTGGCCACATTAAAATCTACAATAACAAAATATCTGAAGTCCTTCAAAATAGTGTATTACAAAACGGCTTTCTCCTACAACCCACAAGTAAAACATGGCCAGCTTGCACCATCTGTCGTAGTTATCACAAATTATTATTATATGTGTAATGTGCCTTGCAGAGTAGAGGCAACCATATCCTGAGAAATATAGAGTGCATACAACTTAAACTTTCGCACAGACAGGAATTGAAGATATGTTTGCCGCAGGCAAAAATTCTTGATGATTTTTCCCACACTGAAGGCCTAGAAGCAATTTGGCAATAGAGATCATTTTCAAACACAGTTTCAATTTCGATTCAAAGAACTGTTAGTTTTTTCCTCTTTCATTTGTCAACAATTTTGGATTGTTTTTAGAAAATCTCCTCTTTACCCCAGAAAATTCATGGTAAAAAATTCAGATCGTAGACTTTATAAATTTCCTCTTTGGCACCAAAAATTTCCTCCGAAATCGAAAATTTCCTTGCAGATTATCTGCTAGTCTGCTATGGTTTCTGGCTGTGGGGCCTTAAGTCAGTCAAGTCAGTAAGTCAGTTGAGTTCTATTATTCTCTCCACCCGTTGTCTCAGTGTCCCCTTCTTGTTTAATTTAAGCATGTCAATCATCCCGTATATGACGTTAGATCCGGGTTTCTGCTTGGTGATGTTCCACAAGTCATCAAATTGTATGGGGTAGACATCAGGTTTGCCGTCAGAGCCTTTATCTATTGCTTTCACATCAAAGAGGATGACAGGGGAATGTCTCCCACACTCTCTACAGGACAGAAAGTCTAGAGGTGTCTCCTTCATGCCCATATACCTTACAAGACATATTTATGGCGGCCTAATTTGCGACGACCGAAATTTTGGCGGTCCGAAAATATGGCGAAATTGAACAAAAACCGTCAAATTTCGGACGTCACAGAAAATAAGGGTATTTTTCATCATTTTTTGTGACAGTAAGCAGTAAGGAAATTTCTGAAATTCGGTAAAATCATGTTCAAACTTAGTCTGTATTAAGACTGTAAGACTTTCATGTTAGCACATACGTACATGTATTTTAATGCAAATTTAAACTGTATTGCTTGACATTCAATTCGTCATTGGTGTGGTGATAATTTGTCCCAAGATGCCAGAATTTATTTATTTATTTTACTTGATATTACTTTTTAGAAACAAAATAAAGCAGTGAAGGCACAGTCATTGAAATAAGCTAAAAGATAATGCGACGGATTCTATTACGACGACCGAAATTTTGGCGGTCCGAAAATATGGCGAAATTTTCGGAAAACCGCCACATTTCGTACGTTATAAATATGTCTTGTAAGGTAGATTAAAGAGGAGGAAGGCATCCCTTAGGGTGTTGGTGGTAAGGTGGGGGTTGTCAGACTCCATTCGGAAAGTATCGACTAGTGTCTCGGATATGGGGTGTCCAAAGGTTGTGAAGATGGTTTCCAGAAGCTGACAGTCTACAATTGTATGGTTGTTGTTATTGAACAGTGAACACCCCTTCCGAGACATCTGTGTATCGATATGGAGTCTGACAGGTGAAACAGAACTTAACATGTATGTCAACAGTCGTCACTGCCTCCTTCTGTAACCACCTGCCCTGGTTACAGTGGGTGCAGATTTTCTTGAAAGGAATAAGTTTTGACAGGGACTTGACTGACATTCCGTCTTACACACGAGTGGATTCCACTCAGTGGAATGCGTTTGTTTTCCATCGCATGTTTTAGCATACGCTCTACAGTTGAATCACCCCTTGGTGGATATTGTAGGGGCAGCCCCAAGGCAGATAACTCATTCTCAACCTGATTCAGGGTAGGATCATGAACAGTAGATGGATTCTTACTGTCGACATGTTTGCAAAACCTCGGTAAAACTCGGCTTGGTAAAGTTTTTAATTTGTATCGTACATTTTGAACGTTAAGATCAAAATGTACGATAAAATGTAATTCAAACATCAAGCATTTGTGAGATCAATTATAAACGTTGCATAGAAGATAAACTGAAGTTTCACCCGGGTAACAGCTGATTATCAAGCCTGGAAACAAGTTATTTAGATGGATTTGAGCATGACGAGTGACTCGAGATCACACATAAAACCGGCAATATCCAAGTATCCCGATGGGCGACACGTGTTCACGAACAGTTTTTCCACTTGTACTAACCGATTTGACAGTGCTGCATGTCTTGATAGCAGGTTTTTTGATATCAGGTTTCTTGATAACAGGTTTCTTGATAGCAGGAATGCTCTCAATCTTCGGACTACTCTTTGGCTGAAAAACAATAGTTATTTCAATGAATGTTTATACCAAATGAAAACGAATGTAGGATAGTACACATTGCTGCGATAAGTTATGAAGCGTACGTTACAACATTCATACTATAGCTATGTTACATCGATTCTTTGACATTTGACAAGATATACTTACAGGGAGAAAATCATCCTAGCTCGAACTGTATGTTTCTTGGAGCAATTTGTTCATTTGTGATGAAATATTGTTCCTGGGCAGGTAACAGTTAAATTAAATAAGTTTTGGAATGTAAGTCAAAACCATGTAAATCTATTAAGTTGATCAACCAAATAATGGCATAGGTGGTGTCCAACCGTGTCCATGTCGATTGGGCGACATCTGTCCGACAACGACATCTGTCCGACAGCCGAATTAGGGATTTCGGACAGATATCGCTGTCGGACAGGAGTCGTTTTTGGCGACATCTGTCCGAATTTCGGATCATATTTTAATTTCGGTTCACATTCGTATTTCAGAAGCTCACGGGTAATCTTGTGACGTTGCTCCCATTGTTCTAATGCTGATGTGATCCATTGAGATATGATCCATCGATGATTCGATACATGATTGACTAGTTGAGAACAGGAACGTCAGATCGTGCTAGCCGTAAACTAACAAGCTGGCGATCACATCACAGTACATATAAGACAGCGGTATGGAGATTAGTTATCGCAATCCACAATTGCAACTAATCTTCAGTTTATCCCTGGACCCAAACAAGGCTCGGAGAACCCTGTCCTGAATGGCTTCCGATACGTCTTCGACAAACGAAGAGACGACACCACCCACAATTATGACGGTTCATGATAATTGATCTATAATTTAATTTTAATCCTGTGTAATCCTGTGTAATCCACCCACTAGAAATATTCGGATTTCCGAAAGGGTTGCAGAGCCCGCATATCTACCGTGGACAAACAACTGATCACTCCTACTACTGCCCACCATGCTGAAATGACCGTCCACGTCAGCAAACAGAACTTGAAAAGAAAAGCTTCTGGTGGAGATCAACCGACGAAATACCTCGTATCTGAATCAGTTGGTGGATTGGGTTATGAATCTAGAGCAAAGCTTGGTTTCCAGCTATCACCCCTCAACAGAATGGTACAGAGCTGCAGAAAAGCAGCAAACAGACACCCTTCTAACCCTTCTAATCTGGAAACACTCTCCATTCCTGCAAACTATATGCTCTCTACCGACAACGAACCAGTGATGCTCTGGGACTCTGAATGGGACGAAAATACTCGACGATCTTTCCTTTAAGGGACTGCTAAGAACGCAGATCATATATTATATGGCGGACGCGGAGCCCATCTCCAGAAAGTCGCGGAGCATTGGGTAGATCATATCTCAAATTGGAAATGTTACGTATACAAATTAGTGAGTAACAGTTCATGAGTTCAGATCATGTCTCTAAATGGAAATGTGTGGAAATGTGTTGAAATCAGATGATAATTTCGGACCTTGAGTCGGACAGATCTTGCTGTCGGACACGAGTCGTGTTACCGACTTACCGACCATGTCACGGCGCAAAGGCTCAGGTCGTTGCACTTTTAACAATAACAATTTTAATGATTAACTGGTTTAGCTGGCAACCTCTGAGGTATGGATTTCGTCTCTACTACATCGGCTAAAGGTTTACTCTGTGGTTAGATGTGTCCCATTAGCTTCAATCAAAATCTATCGTGATAGTTAAAGTATTAGGAAATAGTTTGGCCCCACTAAAATCTTGTTTTAAGAAACACCAATAAAAGCAACACTTTTGGTTCATACCTTTACGTAAAAAAACATGTAACTTTTCACGTTTGTTATATCAGATATAATGGTCACCACGTCATCATTCTGTCGAGTCCAAGTTCCTGAAATTTAGACCCTTTAAAATTAAAATCGATGATATCAATCACAAACAATCTTCCTAACTTAACTTGTTACAATATTTTAATTGCATAACTTGACAAAGACTCACCACTACGTTCCCTACTGTAGCTTATGATATCAGTCAGTAGCTCATTCATTCAATCGTTTAAAAACTGACTTTCAGCAGACAAAGCTCCAAACTTTTGCTATGCAGTCTATACAATGTAATTCAGTTAATATAATAATTTTAATAGATCCAAAATTAAATAACAATAAATCCAAGTTTGGTAACACGACATCTGTCCGACAGCGACATCTGTCCGACAGCACTATTTTCGTGTATTTGAAGTGATATCTAAAATTTGGCACATAGAAATTTATCCAAACTTGCACAAGTTATTTGTCTTAAAGCTATCTTACTATCTAGAAAGTTTCAAGAAAATCGTATCGTTGGATCTCCAGATATATGCTTTGGAACCACTGAAACAACCGAATTGGATATATTTTTTGTGTTTAAAGGATGAGGGGACCTTAGAAAAAGTTTTTTTCTCGTGCAAATCCTTTTATTACATTAATCGTATAAACCACTTTAGTGAAATCCGCAAAGTTGTATTTCATTCGCGCACCGAGATATCCAGCCAAAACAATTTGAACCTGTGACGTCAATTATGTGAGTTGCTCTGATCCGCGCATATAGAAATACAGGTAAAATTAGCGTGCGGGCCGACTAAATTACTAATTAAGAATAAATTAACAATTTACGATACTAACGAGCCTATAACCAATGGAGAGGAGACTTTTTATGACCGGTTGAAAAAAGAATTATCACCCTACGATAACCATGAGCCGAGATACACCTGGAATAAGATTGAAGTCACACAGAAAGGCATGTAAATTATGTATATTTATAGCTCCCAACGTAACACCTAGCAACTCCCTGTTTCGTACCACAGTTGATATATCAACATGTCATATCAACACAACACGGTCCTAATAAAAATGGATCGGGTAGGTATGAAATGCATGTCTTCATTCCAGTTGGACAAGCACCAAGCACCAAGCTTTTAAGTTCTAACTCACTATGTGACACTACTTATAACGTAAGCAAGATTTGCAACTATTACACCAAGCAATATTATACCAAGCATAGCAGACGAACACATCCACATTCGTTACGCTTTACACTCAAGTCACAGCAAACTAAAACGGTAAATTATAAATGAGTGTACAACTAAAGGCCGGTACACGCGCAGTGTCAAACCGCACGTGCGTACTCAGATAGGACTAGAGGCGCCAAGGGCCAGCTAGTAAAATGTCTTCTACTACATCATACATTCTTTTTAATTGTGTCCATATCGGGTTTCAAACAAGTCAAAACAAAATAGCAGTTTGTGGTTTAGTTAGCGGATGCTAGTATGCTACTTATCTTAGCTATTTATAAATAGAAATACCTACTACAACTACAAGAAAGCCTTTCTGAGTTACATTTAACTATTATTATTAAAGAGAATTATTCGTAACTTAAACTAATTCAGTGCAACCAAAGATACCGCTCTCGCAAACGCCAAAGGTAACACGACGTATAGTAATTAAAACAGAACAACAAACTGTTGACACGAGCAAAGGGTGCGCGCGCACGTTGGTCTTAACACATAAGTGACGTCACAGCCCAAAATTGCTATCAGCCAATAGGAGCGCGGCGTGATATTGCACGAATTATCGATTTCACAGTCCGGCGTATTTTTTGATTCTACACACTTTCACAGGACTTAAACGCGAATATTTGGAAGTAAATTCTAAGGTCCCCTCATCCTTTAAGGTAATATCTTAAACTTGGCACATAGAAACTCGCTCAAACTTACACAGATTATTCGTCCTATAACCAACATACTTTGTGGAAAGTTTTAAGAAAATCGTACGGTAGGATCCGACATAAACTATTGTCCAAATAACCTATTTTCTGAGTCGGACAGATGTCGCTGTCGGACAGATGTCGCCCAATCAATTGGAACCATCAAGGGGAATAAAATTAAATTATTGGATGCCAGGAACTAGAAATAAATATACTGGTATACTGTGTTTCCCTGAAGAGGTCTAAATCTAATTGGAACCATCAAGGGGAATGAAATTAAATTATTGGATGCCAGGAACTAGAAATAAATATACTGGAATACTGCGTTTTTCTGAAGAGGTCTAAATCTAATTGGAACCGTGCTACGAGCGGAAAACTAGGATTAAAATTACTAGTACACTTGCACTTCATATTAATTTTATGTACTCGTTTATGGTCCAAATTCATTCGAAGTAGAGCGCGCCGCTTTCTTCTCGAAATATTAGCCCGAGGCAACAGCTGCTACGAAATAGCGTACCCCTTGATACATGTTACGTATTCGCGCGCGAAAAGTGGCATGCAACGTATGTCAACGTACCCCACACGTTGTGTTTAGGGTCAGTCCATTAACAATGCACGAGTTTTTGCGACAACAATAATTTGCAGTAGTGCAATGCACTACCAAAAACAAATAACTATTATCACAAATAATGTTTTTCGTTAGATCGTCAAAATTGACCAATAAGTTATTTGTACTGACACAATTGTAACACAATTGTATTGTGTAAATATTGATCAACTTCATTTTTGGTAATATATTTTTATTTATATCCATTGACCATTGTTAATGATCTGGCCCGGCGCGCGCTACTTCGTAGCTCGTGACGTCGGGCCATTTCGACACAATTTGATGAGTTTGCGGGGAAAGCTTAAACGTGCACTATTAAATAATCAACACAGCCACGCCCCGCTTGATTGGACAATCAAAGATTTTGACTGCAACAATATTGTCTTCGAAAGATCACTACTTGCTGGTCACACACATGTCAGCGAAATTCCCCTAGTCTAGTGTTTTCCAAGTCTTGTTCTGTGAGAAAAGTATGTGTGAGAAAGTCTTTAATAAAATAAAATGAATGTATATTTTTGAATTTTTAACATTTAATTTGATAATGCAGTATAAAGAAATTTTTAATTAGCACTGTATAGTTTAAGATATTTATATTAGCTTATTATAACCATTGATACAACGAACATAATTTTTCAACAGCTCTCCAATATCCATCTTAAAGTTGCATCTTATATCCTCAAACTACACAATTTAAACTTAGGCATATATATAGTGTAGACTTTCTGTCACAACAAGACTGTAACCCATAGTAACAAACACAAACAGAACCCCTAACGTCTGCTAACAATTTTCTTCTGATCCTCATATGAGCCCTGTCTCTAAAAACTCAACTGAACTAGCGTTTTGGTGTGTGCAAAAGCTTTCAGGCACGCACATTCCCTGCCCCGTTAGTTGCCTGTCCCTTCAAAATCAAACTAACAGTCAAGGACAAAAAGTCATACACCAAATGAGCATTATATTTTTATAAATTGTTTTACATCTCTTTACTCTGTAAAATGTGCTAAAAATTAAATTTCTTGTTTCATTGAAAAATTTCTTGTTTCATTGAGAAGAAAGCGGCGCGCGCTACTTCGAAGAAATTTAGACGAGTAACATCCGTCAATTATATCCATAAAATACTAGTTAATATTTTTGCTCAACTTCCTTGCTTGCCAGGTCGTTTTTATAATTTTCGGACGACAATGAGCCATTTAACGGATGTTACTCGTATAAATGTCTTCGAAGTAGCGCGCGCCGCTTTCTAATTATTGATGGCAAGTGCTACGGAGTAGCGTGCGCCGGGCCAAACCATTAACAATGGTCAATGAGTCATCCGAGAATTTGCCCACTTATTACATTTGATTCACAATGTCAATCCTTCGCAGCTCGGCCCAATGGTGCATTTTGCCGATCTACCGTGGTTGCGAGAAGAATTATTTGATGCGCGGCGCGGCCCATTATATAGTGCATCGCGCTACAATTATTAGCATTATATATTACATTTATATTTTCATAAAATGCTTGCAAATATTAGGTATAATGCATAATACTCAATTATCATGCAAGTTACTTCCCACAAAAATTACATTTTTAACAAGGTATTTAGTATAATTTACTTGGTTGCAATGAATCACTAACAGTGAGTTTTTAAAAGTAAACGTCAATAGTTTCTAGTATGTGCCATTTAATGACCTTGTACATTGCAAAATGGTCATTCAAGAAAAATTCAGTCAAAACAGTGAAATTTGGGTCGCAGAAAGCTAAAATTCGAATATGTCCTACTGGTAGGACATATTCAAAATTCTCATTGCATCAAAGTTTTCTCCGAATATACTGCTTCTAGTACCTTGATGGCGACTTGTGTCACTGTCACCGACCTCACTGATTGGTCACTGGTAAAATTCCAGTCAAAACCTCGAAATTTCGGTCAAGGGGACGACAGAAAAACTCCTTCAAAAATCCTCGAAAATCTCTTTTAATATTCTGATGATTTCCCATTTATCGATGCTTTCTTTGGGAATAGAAGTGTGAATACCTCAATCGTGTCTTGTGCCATCCTTATTGACCTTGTAAGATGTTCATTCAAGAAAAATACAGTCAAAACAGTGAAAGCTGAAATTCGAATATGTCCTACCGGTAGGACTTTGGTTTCTAATGGTGAAAAACGGTGAAATTTTACAATTTGGAATCTCTATTCAACATAGAAATCATTCACCATTTTTCACCATTTCAATGTTTTGCTTTCGAAATGTCAAACTAAAATATCAAATATGTATTCTGGTACTATACGACGATACCGAGAGCTCAGTTTCGATGTACCATACTTACCATGTTCACCAAAAGTTACCATGTTTGATGTACCTTACTATCTATGATCACCAAAAGTTACCAGTTTTGATATACCTTACTCGCCATGTTCACCAAAAGTTACCATTTTTGATGGTCCTTACTATCCATGATCACCAAAAGTTACTAGTTTTGATGTACCTTACTCGCCAAGTTCACTAAAAGTTACTAGTTTTGATATACCTTACTCACCAAGTTTACTTAAAGTTACCGTTTTTGATGTACATTACTCGCCATATTCACCAAAAGTTACCATTTTTGATGTACCTCACTTTCCATGTCCAATAAAAGTTACCATTTTTGATGTACCTTATTTGCCAAGTTCACCAAAAGTTACCAGTATCAATGTACCTTTCTCACCATGTTCAGTGTTCTCTAAAACTTACCAGTTTTGATATACCTTTTTCGTCATGTTCACTAAATGTTACCAGTTTAAATGTATCTTTCTCACCATTTTCACTTAAAGTTACCAGTTTCAATGTACCTTTCTCACCATGTTTTAACTAGTTTTGATGAAAAATGGGATTGATAGTTTTCGGTGAAGCAAGTTTTCAAATTGTAAAACCTAGACTTACTTCAAATATAATGAAAGACATGTTTAATTGTTTCTTTGTATCTCAAAATCTGAGTTCAATTACCAAATATTGTTTTAGAGTGATAACACCAGGTCAAAACTAAAACTAGAAGTATATACTCATCGAATAAATGGTGAAAAATGGTGAAATTTTTAAAATTTGGAAACCATTTTTTTACACCACTTTTCACCATTTTACACCATTTTTCACCATTGGATACCACCGGTAGGACATATTCAAAATTCTCATTGCATCAAAGTTTTCTCCAGATAAACTGCTTCCGCTTCAAAAATCTCTTTTAATATTCTGATGATTTTCCATTTATCAATGTTATCATTGGGAATAGAAGTTTGTGTACTATCGCAGTGGCGGCTCGTGGGGAGCTGGCTGGCAGTTTTTGGGGTCAATCGATGGACGGGGGGAGGGGAGAGGGGGCTTGGGAGCCGGCTCAAGCTGATCCCTCCAAACTACGATTACATTTACACACAGGGCCTTGTAAAATGTAATGTGTAACACTTTACAGGCGACAGCAAACTAAATACAAAAAACTTATAACATGGGTGAGATGAAACAGGAACACACACGTTGTACGATCTCAGCCGCCGCAGTTTCATCTATCACTCTTAAATTGCAAAGGGTCCTGGACCCCAAATCGAGGCAAATCATATGATTACCTGTAGTGGAGATTGCGCACGATGTGCTTTGTAACGTTTACAATTAACTATGTGTTCTTTTAAAACTGCGCGGCTGAGTAGTCCAGAGTTGGATTGGACTCCCTATACAACACAATTTCTCGAAGGATCATGTGGTGCGCTCTTAATTAAACGTATGTTAGTAAATGAAGACCTTTTATTGCGATTTGTTATTTCCTAACACTATTACTAATTACTATTTCTATTTTAAGCCACCAGCCACACAGATAATAATTTTAAGGCGTCCTCGGAGCCTGGACGCCCTCAATAGCCGCCTCTGACCTATCGAGTCTTGTGCCATGTCAGTGACTTGTATGATGGTCATTGAAGAAAAATTCAGTCAGAACAGTGGAAATGTGGATCACAGAAAGCTGAATCTGGAAAATTTCTTTCGTAGGCCATTTTTCGAGGAAATTCGGTAGGGATAGCCAATAAGAAACCAATATATATATAATTTTAAAATCCCTGTTACCAAGATAATTGATTGCTGTAATTGATTGAATGATAATGATTTGTGCAGTTTATTTTGTAACAAGATTACTTCTCTATAGAAAGAAACCTAAAGACAAGTACAAAGCCCACCTGTGTACATATATGAATTGGTCCCGGCAGGTGAATACATTGTGTTAGACTCGCTAAATATTCGCTAATTTGATTGACTTTTTCTTCTTTGTAGCACATTTGGCCAAATTAAGCTGTTTATTATATTTCCTTATAAATATAATCTGATTTTTATTTTACATGTTGTGTCGGAACTGTTGAGCTGTGATTTAAAGTGCTGTAAAACATCGTACTCTGGGCCATGAATTTCGGGTCCAATTTATTCTCTGCAACCTCTTGTTTTCAGCACAACTACCCTCAAATTCAAGCCAGAAATTTGAAATGACAAGTTTCAGAAATGTCGGTACTGAGGTGATGTTTTACTGTGTAGACCTTCCATGAATACGAATATTTGATATATAATCACTTGACGTAGAGTGGAGTGCTCTATTTCAGCTACTCGATGGTATTATAAATTTCCACCTTGTGATTTATCATTCTGTCCTAATCAGTCTCAATTCTCAAGAGGAGATTTAAATTTTTCCAGCGGCCGCTGTTAAAATATTTTCAATGCACCGAATAAGACGCACACCCCTACAATTATATACCATACATGATTTCACAATCGTAACTCTATCGTTATCTGACGTCGCCATGCGAACGTGTTTCACTACCTGAGTCTTGAGAGCTGCGCATGTGTCAGCCATTGAACAAACTGTTAGATAAACAAGTTTATAGTCAAATTTAGCAACGGAAATTGGTATTTAATGGATATAATCCAATTGTGACTGAACAATTATAGTCTGCAAGTCATGCCTGAACTCCCCAAATTACATTAGCAGAGTCAGTCTTGTTAACCGGAAAATAAAATATTGAAATAGAGCTAGACAGAGATCAATATTTGAACTAAATGATTTGTTAATATGATGAAAGCTCAGGTTAAACGATATGCTCATCTTCCTAAATATTTGTTTGAAAATTGAATTCGATTTGTGGGTCATTACCTGTCATTCTAATTGCATCGCATGAATAAATTTTTATCGCAGACCATCTCCATTTGGAAATAAAAAGTCCGAGTTCTATCACGCCCACTTCCTTTCAGAAGAAACGAGAGAGTGCATCCTTGTGATCAACGATTTATTTCCAATTCTTATCTTTTGAATTCTGTTCCATTCCTGGGGCTTCGTGTTTTTTAAAACTTGAAAAATAATTGGACTTTTTACTTTACTCTGACTGTTCCTGTGTGTTTCTTTTTCAGCTGTAAAATTAAAAAAAACATAAAACAAACTCTTATTCAGGTTACTAGATTTGGGTAGAAAAATATTTTATGTCCGTTCGAGTATATCACGTCTATCTTCGGTAAACACAGCGTGTGTAGTTCTCTATGACGGCTTGTCAATAGCTAAGATTGTCTATTGTATGTGATGCTTGAGAACGCCAGTCACTCTATTCTGTGTTAGGGGCTTATTATCGGAGGTGGTGTTAGTAGCCTCCGATCTCTTGCTACAGTAATCGGGGGTTCCACGCGCTCGAGAGCAAGCTATAGAGAGTACATCGGAGAATAGTGCATATTTATAAGTGTGACATATGAGACAGTTCGTAGCCCCCCACTGGACGTGCTTCCAATCTCCCACACGTCCCCAAAGGGCAAGATAACAGGTATAAATGCCTCCTGAATATCATTATTTTATTATTACAAACTTGAAAATAATAATCCTGTTACTCAGCGAGTAATCTTGTTCCTCAATTTGCAGTACACCCCTCAATTATCATAGAACAAGTTGTCACTAGTAGCTGGTATGCTCTTAAAGCAGCAAACATTGTTTACTAAAACAGTATAACTGTGCCATTTGCCATTAAATTTCTGATTGAATAGTTGCACGTAACCAAAACAGCTCTGGCTGTAACTCTGGCTGTATCTACCAAGTTAACTAATAGCAGAAATGATTACGTCAGTTCGATTTGTCACGTTGTGTTAGAATTGTGGGAAAAACGTCGCTCAACAAATAAATAGTATGTGCTTTTTATATTATACTACTTATTGTTGATGGAATGTATAAAGGTTATTAAGGTATAAGTGAAAGTTCTAGTATAGTACAGTTATATGCCAATAAGGGTTTCCAGATAAACTGGTTTCCGGAAAAATAGGGCATACTATTAGTAGGTATGTGACGATCTCTATAGATTGTGATACCACGGAACAAACTTAGAAATAATCCTGTTACTCAGCGAGTCCGATCGGGTTACTTAACCCTATGTACAGTCCTCAATTATCGTAAAACAAGTTGTTACTGGTAATGGTATACTTCAAGCGGTGAAGAGTACAACTGGCAATCTGCCAATAACTCTTAAATTGAGTAGTTGCATCTCTGGCTGTAGCTACCAAATCAACTAATAGCTTGATTTAGATCAACGTGTTTGGCAGCCGTTAAGGGTGATACGACAAAAATGGATTTCAGTAAATCATGTACTCTACTATTATAGTATGATACTTATCACATAGTAAATCAATATTAGGTAGAGGAGAAAGGATACCAGAAGATTGTATGTACATATTGCAAATTTTAACAGCTCAACTTCCAGTTCTTTGATGAGCTCTTCGATGAGTCTAGTTCTTCCATGAGTTCTTCGATGAGTATAGTACTCAATTGATTTGTCTCCACTTTAAAAAAGAAGAATAGTAATAGAGGGAACAGTAGTCATTACATCCTGAATCATTCAGTTATCAGAACAGAATACCAAAACAGTAATTTCCGCGTTGTCCCGAAGTTCAGATTTTTTATTCGGATTTTATTCATCAAGATACAAGATTAAGTTTTTTTCATCAACTCATTTAGATGCAGCAGATGTTTAATTGCTAAACTTGGTCAGTTGGTCACGCCTTTCATATTGAGCTGCAGTGATAAGTGGTGGTAAATCTATTTAACAGTGATCCATCCTCTATAGTGAAGTAAAGGCCTTAAAACAGTAGAAAGTTTGGAAAAACAAATGTTGGCATGGTAATTGGCAAGGCGTGGCCCATACCAGGGATTGCCCTATCCCAGCTGTTCTCACATGGGTAATATACTATGTTGGATATATAAGCTCAATGTGGGAAGACATACATCGGAGTTGACTGTTGATTATTTGGCCTTGTTGCACAATGTATCCTTGTAGATTAGAAATAGAAGACAGCTTGAAGATTTTTGAGGCTCGTTTTTGTGGTTTTCTGTTCCTGACGGTGTAGACTTACTTTGATGTGATATCCGAATTTTATCACTAATTAATTTTAAATCTCTGCCGGCGTCGTTCGTCGTAAGCTTTTAAAGTTTTAATGCCAACACAGAAACTTGCACTACAATTTGAATCAACTTCACGATTGTAAATTATAGTGTTCAATGGCTATTGGCATATTGATATAGGCCATTTCTAGGATATAGCCTTAACAATAGCATTGAAAGCTTGGAGCTGCTCAATTTGTGTACATTGTTCGTGATTAATATTAGTTCTACAAAACCCGTTTGACTAGCAAATTGTCAATAAATCGAATAAACAGGAACTTGGAAAATGGATAAAATAATTCCAAAACGAGGCGAAAAAAATGCAGTTACCGAAAAAAATGCAGATATCAATATTCCTTCCATAATTCAGTTTTCTGTCTAGAATCTATATTAAGTTACAACGACATAATATTTCAAATCAACTGCAACACGCCGGGAAAATTCTTCCTCGGAATAAGCATTTCCATCAGCAGAGCGATATCCCAGGTTAGGTCCTTGAAATATTAAATATAGACTGGAATTGGAAGTTAGAACAGGAATAGGCATAGATTAAACCTGTTATAATTATTTCGTTTTGAACTAGATTCGATTATTACACTTGCAATGTCCTGACCGAACTATCCATGAGATGTTCAGCTCCTAGAACGATTAACAGAATCACATCTAAACTAGAAGCATCCCTGCTATCGTCAATTTAACAACAAATCAGATATGAACAGACCAGAAAAGCTTCCTATACTATATTATTTGACAAGCTAGTCGACCAACGAACGTTCTCGTTTTATATGGTTAGTTTCGTATGCAGGTTCCCATCAGCTCTCCTAAAATCTGCCCCAGTTTCCCTCATTCTTAAAGGTTTACTATTTTACATTTCTATCTTCTATTCTATTATACTGGGACATGTCATTCTTGGTTTGCCATATATTACAAAATGCTTTAACCTTAGGTTCTCAACATCCAACTCAAGATTATTCGCTCCGACAACCGAGTTATTATACTATTAAAGCCACCGGAATTCCTTTGTTTTGATAATGAAACCGGATTTTCCGGATATTCCTAAAGTCGTTAACCAGTATTACAGCGAAACTTCCCTGGACAAAATACTAAAAACTCCCTTCTGCAATTAGATTGAATAATCTCAAAGTTTTATGAATCGTTTTCTTAATCCGATAATCTGATCATTTGATCAGCAGAGTGACTCGTCAATAAAATTCCCCTCCATTTCTGGATCCATAATTTTCGTTTAAGCTCGCTCCGTCGCTCGTTCGACGGGTTGATCATACGACTCAACAGGCTTACCTTGAATTCATTTTGAACATAAGCAATTTGTTTTGTTGCAGAAATGCTGGCTCATTGCCTTCAAATATGCATGCTACGCGGAGACGGGAACTCGTTGAATATCAGAATGCTTTCACCGTTGTTTCTATGACATACCAACCTTTGCACATAAGAAACGTTTTAAATTTACGAGTACTTTAGGAATAGTTTGCACACAGAATCACCCTTATTAATAAACTGGAGGTACCTTTCGAGACAATATTTAAATGGTACGAAAGTCGTGGTTTTTCGAAGAAAATAATATCATTACTTCCGGGACTTACTAAAATTTAGGTCACCATCATTTATTTTCCATATTAATTTTTACTTATTCTCCTTAATTTTTATGATATTATATCGATTTCCTATCACTTATCAATATGTAAGTTCTAAAATATGATTCATCAAAACAATTAATGAACACTAGTATTCGATCATGAGTGCTTTTAAAAATTGGACACGTTCCATTAAAAATAGGCAAGCTCTGTCAATACTTTATTGGCCATGGCGGTGAAATTTCGGGATTAGTGCATCTAGTGGAAGATAAAAAACTACACTTGTCGGGTCTCCTATACCCTTGGAGGATTATAAGTTATGTTAAAGGGCTTCATTTGTGTAATATTAGAGGAGATGAACAATATCACCAAATAACTGATTTAATTTGGGGTTACGAAATGTGACGGTTTTTGGTATTAAAATCTTTCCATATTTTCGTTTCCAAATCATTTAATCAACGAATTATGTCAAACATTAATATGTCTCGTAGGTAAACGGTCTCTCGCAATTAGTAGAATGAGACGAACATTTCCTGTTCTACGAAAAAACTGTAGACTTTAAACAAAGTTTGCAAAGGATCGTTTTCGCAAAACGCAGAGGGACAAATAGAATCAATAATTCAATCTTAATTTTTCTCCGATCTCCTTAAATATTCAGTGGATTCAGTTGCATGATCTATTTTAAGCTCCGTAACTAAGGCTATTTTTACGGAAACAAGATTTTCCGGAATTGTTGGCTCAGCCCTGCATAACATAATCCAGCTCAACTACAATTAATACTAACCAAACCGGGCAAACTCCCCTCGTCTCCCTAAAAAGGTAACCAACCGGCTTGGTTGCTATTACACCTGACTAAATCCTGACCTTGTCATTGGCTGACCGTTCCGGCGTCCCTCCAAATAAATACGTGTTCTTGACGGAACTTGTTTATTAAATTGCTTTACCATTGTTTGTGCTCCCTACATACTCCCTCCTGGAATGACCTGAGTAACCTCTCAAGGGGACTGCTGATGTTGGTGGCTTTTGCGTGTGGTCATTCCAGCCTGACTACAGGTGACTCGCACTTACGTTCACCCACCGTATAAAATGCTCAAATATCATGACCTTTACTTACTCATTACTCAAGTTTTACCCTGCCGCTGTTTATTGCTTATTTGCTTGCTTATGATCTTTTAAATTTACAGTGATGCGTGGGTGTCAGATGATTATGGTTAGTCATGACTCTTGAGAATCTGAGAATTTCCATAAGTTGGTCGTGGTATTTATTATTGAGCCATAATTTCATAAACCACAATAGGTCGTTAGTGTAGGTAATGAATAGCGCTGTTTTGCTGAGGTATAAGGATGTTGCTGTAATTCTTAAATATGTTTATTTAACACTGTTTGGCAGCTCATTGTCAAACCTATTGTTTTATATTCTGTTTATATTCACAACTTCTCAACCTGTTCATTCAACATGCCGTTAGTCAATACCATGTGTGTACAAAGTTATAAACCCCTCCGGGGATAGAATAAGATTATGATAATCCGCTCCCGCTAAATAGATTTTGTGATAATCCGGCTCCCGCTGTTTAGTTTTTCCCGCTGAATGTGTATAACCCGGCATAGTTTCTTAATCCGCCCCGCTTATTTGATACAGATTTGTTTTGTTTTGTATTCACCGAGGAATTTCAACCGCGCACTGTTACGTGGTTTTGATGATGTGTATCACGTGACTACTACTACGACGCGCATTGGTTAAAAAATGTAACGTGACTATGGCTTTAAAGTAAGAACTATAAAATACACTTTATCTACGTATCGTCTAATTGCAGGCGCTGCAAAACCCACCACACTGCTTCATTACTTAAACTCTTACTTATTGTATTGAACAGTTCCGAAACTTTGTCTCGACGGTTACATTGATTTTGTCCGGTTAATTTTGTCGTTGTTTGATATGAAGCCATGTATTGTAGTCGTTTTTACTTTGATGAACTTCATGACCACGATATCATTATTAAGCTCCACCTTTTATCGTTGCCAGGCTTAACTCGACGCCCCTATCGATATTCATTCAAACGTTCTGACTGAGGGAATAATGTTTAGATATAACGCCATTTTCAAATGTATAGTACCTAGTTGTACTTGTATTACTATTTATTTGTAGGTAGGTCCCAATTCCATTTCATATTTTCCATACTGATCTCATATAGCTAGAATTAGAGTAAAATGTTCAAATTTGTTGGACCTAGCACTAACCCGGAGGGGTTTATAACACATAACACCGGCACGCTTAAGTTATTTTAAAATAACCCCTCGTGCTAAAGCACGTCGGGGTTATTTGTCTAATATCCTCGTGCTTCGCACTCGAATTTATTATAAAATTTTACCCGCGTCGCGGGAAAATTGAAATATATAATCCTGCGCATCCGGGGGTATTGGTGTGTTAATTACTCTTTTCATCAAATTATCGAGCTTAACTGATCTGGTAACGCTAATTTTCATCAGACCTGTCGGAGATTATTGATAAGTGATAGCAATTCATCTCGGTATACGAGATGTAACCGTACAAATTCTATTATTACTTTTACAATTATGTACAAGACTTCTCCGTTGAGAATCTGCCAGGTGTTTAACCTGAAATAATCAGAAATCAAAAGCCCTTTTTGATCGAATTTTGGATATTGCGATACTGAAAGAAACTTCTCACCAAAATTAAGTACAATACTGAACATTTGCCAGGAACTACACGTGTTCAACTTTAATAATTCAGAAAATCAAACGCCTTTTTGATTTAATTTATACGATTATTCGATACTGAAAACCACATTCTCTCCTTCTTTTCTCATCTAACTGCCCTCTGAACGATTTCAAGCACACGTAGCAGATTCAACAGAAAACTCTTCAAACTTAATTACCGGCCCCTGTCACCCGGTACAAATACTGGACTCCATCCATATTAAATAACGTCATAATAAACAGTCTGTGCGTCATAACACACTTAGTGACAGTGTGGGTATGTTTAACTAGGAGTGTGGTTTGTTTCCAAATTTTAGTCATGTAAAGCACATGGTTTTGTTGTCTGTTGAATTTGTCTCTTTTTCGTTGCGAGCCCCTTATCTTGCTGTTTGCTGATTTATATGTTTTGAAACGATTTTAAATGTTTTGTTAAATGGAAGTAGAATGGAACCAGAGTGATTCGCTGGGGTGAAGCATATTCTACTGACACTTATATCTGGTAGCTGGTAATAATATCAATAACACTTTTATTTACTTTTAGCTAGCCAGAAAAGATATGACTACGTTTTTGTTCACGTCGGAGTCAGTCGGAGAGGGTCATCCGGGTAAGATTTATTGAAAATTATTATTAAACGTTGTTATACATTAATAATATAAGTAAAATTAATATTAGTAATATTATTTTAGTATTATATTATTGCATATTATGATAAGTAATTATTTGTATACGTTTTTTAGTAGCACCGTCCTTTGATTGCTGATTGCTGAATCCAGCCTTATGAAATTGACCATATTGTCATTTTTGCACATATCTTTGAAACATTCCTTATTTTCAGATAAGATATGCGATCAGTTGTCCGACACAGTTTTGGACGAATGTCTCAAACAGGACCGAATGAGTCGGGTTGCTTGTGGTTAGTTAAAATTTCACTTCATTTGAGTGTTCATAAAGTGTTAATAATACAGTAAAACTGGTCTCTCTATACCGGGTATTTTCTATACCGTGCATGCACTGTTTCTTTCCCCCGAGAGGCCCGGTATATAGAGATTTCACTGTAGTGTTTTGACCAGATTAAAATTAGATAGTTTGCATTGAAATATTGGGTTGATCGATATAGATAGGGGCATCGAAATCTAAGCACATAGTACTTAGTTTATTTATATAAAGTTATTCACAGTGCGGAACACTGCTCCAATAATACAATTAAGTGGAAAATCTCACGAAACATGATAAACAATAGCCCTCCAACGGGGTAACCACGCATCCCAATCAAATTATTCCATATTTGGAAACTGTTATCATTTGCACAAGTTTGCAGACGCTAAGCCTGCTATATTTGTCGTACTAATGATATTGATTCTAACAGTCTCATGATCTGAGTTGCTGCATCCTTCACAGTTTCTTACATAGTTGACTAAAATATTTTCATAATTAATATATTTATTTATTTAATCCTACAGAGAGCGCTACGACCACCGGACTGGTTATGATATTTGGGGAGATAACCACTAACGCTATCATTGATTACCAGCGTATCATCAGAGAGACTATCAAGGAAATCGGTTACGATGACAGTGCTAAAGGTGGGGTGTTCATTCTTTTATTGTTGGTTACTTAGTTACTATTTACTAACAGATGTGATATGGATAAGCTATAACTTTCTGTGGAAATTGTTAAATTTCCTGTTCTTTTGGATTGTTTTTGAGGAATGGAATTGCTACATTTCCTGTTCTTCCTCTAAAGTCGATATGTAATGTAGTATGAGTACTACTCAACGTTCAATTAGTTCAACTGACGTCTGACAAAATCACTGTGGTATTAGTTAGAGTTAGAAATATGCTGTTAAACAGGTATTAAAGTAAAATAAGTCACTGCTTTGGAGATAAAATGGTACAGCATTAGTAAGGAAATACTTTGTAATATTCGCTTACTAGACGGAGACTCACAGACATGTTAGAATAATGAAAATCCGCTCCATACCCTCCCAAATTTACAAAACGATTGTTCCTTAATATACATATACCACGTGACGTCATCAAACCACATGACGTCATCAAACCACGTGACGTCATCAAACCACGTGACGTAATAAAATCACATGACATCATCACTAATGTAGGATTCGACTACAAGACATGTGGCGTGATGATAGCAGTTGGTCAGCAGTCCCAGGAGATTGGACAGAGTGTAACCAACGCCACTGACGATGACGCTGAACAGGGCGCCGGAGATCAGGTAATTAGTAGTTAGATAATCTCTAATTATCTTAACTCATTAGTTAAGAATAATACCGCAGAACTTATGGCGGTCAGGCCCAGGTATAGATTGAAAATTGATTCGATTCGAATCAGAAACGTTTTCTGAGACGAGCCCGATCTACACATAGTGAATTTTGTGTGGCAGGTTGAAAAGTGGTAAATGCTATAACATCACAGTAAAATTACTGTAACTACTGTAACAATAACAACAACCCAGGGTCTGATGTTTGGATACGCTACAGACGAAACAGAAGAGTGCATGCCACTGACACTGACCCTAGCTCACAGCCTTAACAAACGTCTAACAGACTGCAGGAAGAGAGGAATCCTGCCCTGGCTCCGACCTGACACTAAAACTCAGGTATTTGCAATGAGCTCTCAATTATCCAATTAATAGTCTAATTAAACCTCATTTGAAAGGAAATGTACGTGACCCCGCTCCAACTTTGTAATATAATATTGCAAACTGTAAAATACATATTGTGTTGATTTGTGGGCTTCTTTGACATTTCGTCGCCCGATTCCCCGGAAATTACGTAATGTAAATCTTGCAAAATCCATGACCCGACACATGTATCTCAAAACGACACACATATCTTTTAATCACCAAAGAATAAATGCATCTAACTTAATAGTATTTTTCACGGGTTGAGAAGGGCGAAAAAGTTAATAGGAAAGAAAAATGAATCCAATTTATTTCAGGTGACAATAGAGTATTTCGATGATAACGGAGACATCAGACCGGTGAGAATCCACACAGTGGTGCTGTCTACCCAGCATGATGCTCAAATTACGCAGGTTCAACTGAGGAATGACATCATGGAGCATGTTGTCAAGGTCAGTTCTTATCTTTACTCTTATCTTCCTGCGCGTTGTACTGTCTGCTGCCCAAGTGACATGGGTCCACCATGTTAGAGACCATAGCATAAATGAAATGTATATCTGCACCTAAATCAAACTGTTCGCTCAACCATAACTCTTATGATAATTTTGGGGTGGTGTCATCACCGTTTGGCATTTATTTCGGAATGATGTGATGGTGATAATTTCTTTAACAACGCCCGCCACCCACTTAGCTAGTCAGACTCTTACCCCTGCCTTACACTTGTTCTTTGTCTTACTATCCTAGCCGAGACCCTAACCTGGAAATACATTTTTATTAAACGCAGTGCAGTGCGCTGCAAAAGTGACAACTTCCGATATCACATTTAATCGCTCGCAATAAGTTGTAGATTTATTGCACCCGTGTCACGCCAGTTGCACGGTTGCTGTATATTAAATTTCATTTACTTGGCACCCTTCATTTAATTTGATTTATCAGCATACATGTTTAAAATCAAGTAAATGATCATCACTATAATTTAAAACTCATCATTGGTCCCAAGCCCCGTTCTGTTCTCCCTATCAATCTTTTTATCAACTAACTCCCTCCTTAGGTGGTGCTGCCAGAACATCTGCTGGACGATGACACAGTTTATCACATCAACCCCTCTGGTTCCTTCGTCGTCGGAGGCCCTTGCGTGAGTGAAGCTCTTTTCATCTCCATATTTCTGATCAAACAACCATACTTTTGTCAAGTAGAAAGTCGTCGAGAATATTTGCATATAGACTTAGTAACACCTTTATAATGGTTCTCACTTAGTAACACCTTTATAATGGTTCTCACTTAGTAACTCCTTTATAATGGTTCTCACTTAGTAACACCTTTATAATGGTTCTCACTTAGTAACACCTTTATAATGGTTCTCACTTAGTAACTCCTTTATAATGGTTCTCACTTAGTAACTCCTTTATAATGGTTGTCACTTAGTAACACCTTTATAATGGTTCTCACTTAGTAACTCCTTTATAATGGTTCTCACTTATCAACTTCTTTATAATGGTTCTCACTTAGTAACTCTTCTATAATGGTTCTCACTTAGTAACACCTTTATTATGGTTCTCACTTAGTAACTCCTTTATAATGGTTCTCACTTAGTAACACCTTTATAATGGTTCTCACTTTGTAACTCCTTTACAATGGTTCTCACTTAGTAACTCTTTTATAATGGTCCTCACTTAGTAACACCTTTATAATGGTTCTCACTTAGTAACACCTTTATAATGGTTCTCACTTAGTAACACCTTTATAATGGTTCTCAAGAACCTACTTCCAAACGTACTGTGTTACGCACTAAATTTCCAGGGAGATGCTGGTTTGACCGGACGTAAGATTATCGTGGACACATACGGAGGTTGGGGAGCACACGGGGGCGGCGCTTTCTCTGGCAAAGATCCAACTAAAGTTGACCGGAGTGCTGCATACGCTGCCAGATGGGTCGCCAAGTCACTGGTCAAGGCTGGAGTCTGCAGACGAGTTCTCGTACAGGTGGGTTATATTCATTCTCAGAATTCCATTTACTTACAAATTCGGTTTGCAGAAAATACCGGTATTGTCGACGAGTAGGTGGAAATCCTCGTTATTAAGTTAAACAGGTCGCGGTCGGCTCGTTTTCATTTCTGGTAAACAATGGTGTGATCTTATACAAAACAAGTTAATAGTTCAGAAAATAGGATTTTGCTGAAAACAGGTTTCTCATAGATGTCGCAAATCAGGTTCCTCCAGCTTTTCACAAAGGTAGTCGATTAACTTTTGCGACCATAGCAAATGGACACAGGATGGATACTGCGTTTTCGTAACGCGCTGTACAAAATTTGTATAACAAAATTTCTGGTGGATTATAATTTAAGCCGCGCACGGCCGGACAGCGGCAAATTGAATTAAAACCGACTTTTTTACCTTCCCGCCAATTATGTTCTACTTAACTTCTACATGCTGCATAATGCATAACTATAGATTCACTTCAAGTCGAGCTAGCGGCTCGCTTGACACGGACAGCTGTACTAACTATACCTAAACGATAAATAATGATAGTGATAATCAAAAGCGCCATTCTCCGTATTGTCTGCAACACACGTGGTACGGTATCACTCATCACTGCACCCGGGAACCACGCCGCGCTCCTGCCAGATAACAAAGGGGGCTTGTTTTATGCCAACACATCACTACTACATGTCGAGCTTTTCGATCATTATATTTTTTGCTCCTTCTTTCGTCTAGAACACTGTTAAAGTGTAAGAACCCTTCTATATGCCAGTGGGCATGGTTACGCCATCAGCCACGCCTCTACAGCCGTGTACGTACTGTGAATTATGACAGCTAGCAATGTGAACACGTTCTAGATTTCTATTATCTTAACCGTGCACATTAAAACTGGAGAGACATTAAAAATACTGCATCCTGGATTATATACAATTCCTATCATGTAACCTCATTGTAACCACATTGTAACCACATTGTAACCTCATTGTAACCACATTGTAACCACCGTGTAACCTCATTGTTACTGCATTGTAACCACACTGTAACCACATTGTAACTACTGTGTAACTACTATGTAACCACCGTGTGACCTTACTGTATTACCGCATTGTAACCTCACCATAACCACCTTGTAACCCCCAGGTATCATACGCTATTGGTATTGCTCTCCCTCTCTCTGTGTCCATATTCGCCTATGGAACCTGCAAATACACAGAATCTCAGCTGTTACAGATTGTTCAAGCTAACTTTGATCTCTCTGCTGGAAATATTGTCAAGTGAGTGTTTTAGACATATTTTATTTTTAGACATTTTGTCTATTGTTGAATTATTGGCATCATCACCATATGCTTATCATGTGCGATTCTTTTTTAGGCGGAAATTTTGTTGTTAACATCCCATTAACATTTAACATGAATAAAGTAGTTCATACCTGGTGAACGATGTATTATTACTTTTAAAAGATTATAATATATTTTCTCAGGGAGCTTGATTTGAGGCGGCCGATCTACAGACAAACTGCAAAGTACGGTCACTTCGGTAACCCAGAATTCTCCTGGGAACAGCCTAAAGACATCAGCATCCCCGAAAATCTATGCTGAAAACCTTACCGTCTAATATGACTGACAATGTAGTTTTTATTAAAGCAGTTTTGTTTGACCCTAAAATCGGGTCCGCTTCGACATGAGGTCATAAACATATGATTTAGAAGTAAAATTTTTATTGGAAGTTTTAATGCCGAACATGTTTTTAATCAATGACATATTTTTATTTAGTACAGATAGGCGAGATAGTAAGATTTAATTTATTAGCACTTTCTGAGTTTGAGATGATTTCAGACCAAGTTAATAGATTCTGAAATTTGTTCAGATGGAATTCAGTCGATTAGGATCCTTCCTGTTTTGTCTACGTGATATGTAGTAGTGTTGTTAGACTAATAGTGATAGGTGTTCGTTTACTTTTAGGGATAGTGAAATAACTAATTTGATGTTTTGAGCCTCTCACATTTTAGACTGCCGACCGATGTAAGATGTTTTTAAAACCGTTAAGGGTTGTCAATGATTGATTTTTAATAGAATAATTTTAATTTTTGTGCAATATATCCATCCAAGATGGAAGTTTATTCCACGAAAAATGTCTAAAAATGTGGTATTTTTACTTTTATATGAAATAACAGTGCTAAATTGCACCGGTGAATTCCGGAAATATGATGATTGATAGAATTTGGTAGAATTGATAGGTAGAAACATGTAATTGATGGATACGACAATAAACCCTGAGTGATAAATTAGCATTTCTGTCATTAACGTTTACTCTAGACGCAATCGGGAGATGTAAGTCAAAGTGCAGTTAATTCCCAATTTCTACATTCAATTTTCTTCGAATCAACTGAATACAAAATCAAATATTTACTATTCAAAGTTATTAAAGAACGGTTTTAACAATAATAAATTCCGTGATAACTGTCATGAAGAATGAAGATGTAACTAGGTGAAACCGAGCTAATAGTAATAGGTGAGACCGAGCTAATAGTAATGGGTGAGACCGAGCTAATAGTAATTGGTGAGACCGAGCTAATTAGGTGAGACCTAAATAATAAGCTTCATGAAGAAGCTTATTATTTAGCAGAAGGTAAAATTACAAAACAGGTTACCTACAGTAATTACTGTTAATTAATGAGGTTATAATAGTCCTAAAATAAAAAGCTAAAAAGTAATTTCTCTACGATTTGTAACTGGTACTGCCCGAGCTGGTGCCTTTAATGACAGTGTGGACCCCTGTGTCCTCGGCACACTTGCAGAACCTTAAAACGGACTGTTTCATCTTCAACAGCTCCGTTTTGAAAGCTGTGTTCCGGAACAAATAAATAATCGGGTTAAAAATAGAGTTTAAATTCATTCCCATCATCCAAAGGGTCTCTAACACATCCCAAGCTCTCCCCATCTCAAAGGGCCAATAACCAAGGACCAAATAACCGAAGTAGTAGCAAATGAAGTAGTAGTTGACAGAGTAGCACACAACAAATCCCAACACAACCAGGAGGGTTGTTGTGGTGGCTTCCCGTTCGTTCTGTTTCGCTTTCCCCTTGGCCCGGGACCCGTTCTTCTTCAGGGAACCAGACTGGAGTCTACTGAACGCTCCTTTTGCTCCGCTGTTATCTTCTGACTTTCTCAGGGATGATCTCATTGTAGTGCTTTGCCTCTGCAATACAAGAATTAGGTAATAGTGGCTATACGTGGACTGCACATGACATGCTTTGGGAGTCCGTGTGTGTTTTTCATATAGAAATGAAATGGAAATAAAAACAGCACTTATAATTATGCCCCGTCCATAGGCATAATCATATCAACATTCCGCACCATTCAAAATGCGGATTGCCGTTGCGCGACTCGCCGAATACCTTATCGGACCTTATTTGGACGGACATTAATTGAACGCTGGAGGCCCTAACGTTCATGAAGGTCCGTCCAAGTTAAAGTCCGTTCAATTTTTTTCAAAAATTGTTCCACTTCGAACTTTTTGTCCAGAATATGACAACTATGAGAACTTTATTGTGCCGTAAGTTAACGACGGAAAGGTTCTCCTTGGTCTGCCGGAGGCACAGAAAACTCTACTACCACTAGTATATAATGTTTTCAAGGGTCACTTGGCGGAAAAAGTCAACGAAATTATGGCAGTCAACAACAAAGTTCATGAGCTAGTCCCCGCCAACGTGAAAAACTTGTTCCAGCCTCTAGAAATTACGGTAAATCGTGTTGCCAGTGACATTGACCGACGTTGTTATAGTTCATATTACTCAGGGGAGGTAATAAAACAGTGCTAGGAAATCTCCACGTGATGTTGGGGTTAACCTTAAGTTGTCTAAGATAAAACCACTTCACGCCGAATGGCTTGTAAAAGTTAACACTGAAATGCTGGACCGGGGTAGTTTGATAAAAAAGGTTTCCATTATAAAGCTAGAAATCACTGATGATTTAAGCATGGATTATTTCCCCATTTGATGAGTTGATGGTATGTGATATTACTATTAGACACTGATCATGTACACATATTTTAACATTTTTACTGCTTAATGACTGCTTTTCTTACTTACTGTATACAAATTTTTATGATGGTTTTGATTTTGAATGCCTTCTAGCGTTCATATTAATGTCCATTCATAATTATGTCCGTTCATTTAATGTCCGTCCAAATAAGGTCCGATAAGGTATATCTAGGTTGAAGTGCAACATTATCAAACAAAGTTATAATTAATATTGTATGAGCATACCGACACATGTGACAAGAATATTCCCATAAATTAGCCGATCACATTTATAAAAAAACGTATAACTATATAAATATAATATGTACAATGTACATACTTATACATGTACAATGTACATACTACATGTACAATGTGCATACTACATGTACAATGTACATACTACATGTACAATGTACATACTACATGTACAATGTACATACTACATATACAATGTACATACTACATGTACAATGTACATACTACATGTACAATGTACATACTACATGTACAATGTACATACTACATGTACATTATACAATGTACATACTACATGTATCAAGTGTAACACGAAATGAAGAAGTAAGAAGTAACGGTGTAATACCTGTCTTTTAGACAGCAGAGCTGTCATGTGTAAGGGACAGAAGATAAGGAAGACGAAGCAGATAGAGTAAGGAATAACTTGTATTAGAGGGTAGTAGTAGATCTCGTTCTCTTGGAAGATGTTGGTACCGTAGGAGCACATTCCTATGCTAATCGCATATTGGTATCTGTTGGGTGATAACTTTGGTTAGAGGTGGATGAGCTTTGGGAATATACGAATTAATTTGTTTGTAGATTCAAGTTTGAAAGAATTAGGAAAACAAATGCTCATTTTCCAGCGTCTATTTATTATATTATCTCATTATAATATGTATGTAGTATTGAGTATAGTGTATTATAATAAAGGAGGAAGTCAGGTAAACAGCTTTTAGTGCCCAATTCACAGTTACCTTTCAAGTTTGAAGTAAGGAACGAGGGATCGAAGGAGTGAAATGAACCAGATCAAACCGGTCACTGTATACCCCGTCTGGAGAAAAATAAAGATGTTAGATGTTATTAAAGTTCGCATATAAGGGTCCAGCCTTGAAATTGTATGTAGCTGGTTGGTGAGTTCGACTTTTTGCTCCTCAAAGTTTCATTTCAATTTCAGTTTACCCCAAGATTTTATATAAAAAGCGTATTGTCGCAGGTTGCACCAGGCACCTTAACCTAATCCTTGCCTATTGCCCTAGCTTTATCCCAACCTGCCTTACCATAAAGGGCATAAACTTTACTCATGATCGCAACCCCATATCCTAGAACTTAACCTATTTAAATCCTAAAACAGAGAGTAAAAAGTTTGGTCTCCTATCAGTACTACTGGGCGGCGCTCCGCCTGCCATTCTGAATCTCTATACTAGTCAATCATATTGATAATCCATTGTCATAAATGTAAAATGTCAATACCAGTAGTTCACATTGACAGACCTGGTTGGTGGATATCTTGTTGTAGTGTAGTGGTACAGCTAGGGCTATGTACCGGTTCAGGGTGATGCAGACCACCGACAGAAGGGATGCAAATAGTGACGTGTTCGATATCACTCCTAGGGGGTTAGAGATTAGAGCACAGGGGGTAAGGTCTTTATGGTTTGTTATCCTATTTGTATTTGTCCCGTCTTAAGTTATTACAATTGTGCATTTTAACATTAGCTGCGACAGTGCGACCTTTAATGTTTAAGCTTTTAAGTTTTATAATAGTATAATGAACCATGACAACATTATGACCCAAATCCAAAAGCTCTAGACTTCCAGGCCTTGATAGTAATTTATGAATTAGGTACCCAGTTGTTGCTGGAATGACAACAGTTGGCATCTGATCAACAAGCTGTAACCTTCTTCTTGCCCGACGTAATTTTCACGCATTAATCTTCCTGAGATGTCTGCCGTCTAGAGGCTAATTCTCAACGCTTGGCCAAACTCTCAGTACTAACTCTATACGCAGGCGGAGCATACTAGCAGTAAACTTTCTGACAAGATAGTTCTTTAAGATACTAGAATTAACACGGCGCACCTGTGCCGGCCCTTCTACCTGTTACATTGCAATAGAGAGGTTTGCCCTGGGCTCTAAATCAACTAATTGTTTATTGGCCCCTAAACTAATTTATATCACGGGTGTATATGTTGACTGTTGAGGAGGGGATCTAGGAGAAGACGGAGATACTGATTAAGTTACACCTGGTCCAGTGATGGAATAAGCCATGTTTTAGAACTTTCTAGGCGAGGTTAACCACACTGGCTGGAACCTTGCCATGATCTAAATGTCATCATCATCATTTCCGCTACACTACGTTCCAATCAGTAACCAGAGGCAGGCCAAGTGCAAGGGTGTTCTGGGTTAGCACCAAATCAAATTAATCAAAACTATAACCGGTATTAAAACTACCACTATTGCAATGTTATATGGTTCATTAATTAAGCTTAAGAACCTTGCTTCAATTGTAGGTGTTTGAGCTGATTGGATAATACTTTTTCTAAAGCAATATAAATCTACTACCTGAAATATCGCAGAGAATGGCTCCAAGGAAGAACTTGTCGAATTTTAGTAGGAAGGATACGGAGGAGGGTAGGATAGCGAATATACCCATTGTGAGATCTGTCATCGCCAAGCTGAAGAAGTTGGTCATGTTAGGAATCATTCTATATTTCGTATTAATATTCCATAGTCGTTCTTTTATTCATTGAGAAACTTAATTTGTAGCAATAACGTCTGCCATTGGCATAAGGCGTTAGTTAGATCAAAAGTTAAAATCTACCACCAACGCTAAAAACTTCAGCTTCTATTTTGTTTACCTCGCAATGAAGATAGTGGAGGAAGAAGTTTTGATCCTAGTGATGATGACGAGCTCTATGAGGTTGACGATGATAACGTAGATGGAGAGAAGGAGATAGAATGTTGGGAGGATAACTGCTGTGAAGGTGCTCTGTTCTACTATCTCTGTGGTGTCGTTACCTGACATTATTCCTGCTGCTGTGTGGTTATTGGTTAAGATGGAATCATCATTCACTTTGAAATTACCACAACTTTTTAGATACAGTGTAAAAAATGTCTACAAAATTGTTTTACGATCTAGATTGAATCAGGCATACGTTTTAAACTTTTAGTGCTTTAACAATCGCAAGTGGCAAGATACTATATGCGAAGACAAATGATCAAATTCAAGGATTAAACGAAGGTTGAAGTAACAAACTCAGCTTCATAAGAATCAAACATCCCTTTTTAACTGATTTGGTGGCCCTGAACTATATTTGAAAGTTCGGATGCATTCATTTATTCCATATAACAGCTTAAATCTGACAAGAGCTTGACCACTGCTTGACAAAATGTTCATTATAAATAAGGCGAGTCAGCGAGTGGTTTTGATCTAGTCCGACACGCCGAGTGACCCTTCGTCACTAGCAGAATTATTATATAATGTTTTTATATTAAACAGTCTTTCGCTAACAATGTTATGCAAAAATATGCGAAAACAATCATATTTTGGTCCGACTTATTGGGAATCACAATTGTTTGGTCCGACCAGTTAACAATCTTAAGTCTAAAGTCTAGCCACAGCTCGTGAATTCTATTTCGCTGCATTGTCACTTGTCAGAGCAGATTGACAGCAGTGAGACAATGAAAGGAAGTAATGCAGCTCACCAGGATGAATCTCTGACTATCGATATGAACTAAGGAAGCTCGGGGGTGACCAAAACACATTCTTTGCATGGCAGCTATAATAATATTACTTTAATCTTGCCGGGTATAATTCTAATCTGGTACGTGTTCACAACACATGGATTAATCTAATCAGCGGAGGTTGTACGGGGGTTCGAAAAACAATCATTCAGTTCGACTAACCGCAAGGGGGGATTGGTTTAACATCGCTCGACTTACCATCTATAAGTTTAAGTCATTACCAATACTATTGGAATAATCCTAACTCGCAGTTCGCACCTACAAGTACAACCTAGAAAATTAAACCATTGTCATAGAAGCTGAAAAACTCCATAGGTATGTATAACATGAACATTTATCAGATGTTGTCCGACTCAGAGCTGGAAGAGGGGGCATGCTTGTGAGTTACGAAGCCATACTACCCTAACATAGTTGCCCGACCCAACATGATCTGATCAATAAAATAGCTGATCTTGCGGAGGAGTGCATGCGAAGCCATTAAACATGAACACAGAATGATTTGATATAAATTAAAGCAAACTGCGCAGCGAACATTTCTGAAGGTGGGTAAGGAATAACCATCACCAGTGTATGACGCATAACTAATAACTTTAGGTCAATTCAGACTATTTGTGGATTCTTGAATTAGAATAATCAATGATCAAGGCTAAATATTGGAAAAACTTGACAAACAAAAGGAATTACTCTCGTCAATTTCTCAATGACTACTCAGTTCATGAGTGCATTTCACAAATTACTGTCATGATACCAATCGCATTTCATAATTCCAGAACATATTTCGCCAATTTTCATCCTGACCAATCATTGTTCATGCAATTTGGTAAATAAAAATTGTGCCTGAGATTAATCTATAATTATTGATTTTTACAATTTAATGCGAATTTCACTTGGCTTACACTTACAGTCCTATATGGACGGCCAAAATCTGAACGGTTGACCCTCTAGTCCTCGTATTGACTATATTTATTGAGAACCGCTCATACATATATTAGTTGGGCTGTTCACTATTTTATCAATCAATGAGAAGGCTTCTACGGTCAGCGACGGTTAAATATGCGACGGGCGAAATTGTGACAACTCAGTGGATTGTGCTGCAAAATTAAACCATACACTCACCATGGCACAAAGATTAATTAGCTGATCACTCCAACATGCGAAAATTTATAATGATTCACAAAAGTTATATAAATTAATAAGTAACTTTGATTATAACTTAATCGTGGCACCATGAAACAGCCTCGGTATTATCTACCCATCACTAATGATATTGCTACAAATAATATTATGACTGTAGTATTAATTATTATGTTACCACAAATAATATTATTGCAGCGGGTTCTGCTATCAGTTGTTGTGACTTTAACTACTGACAAAGTCTAACTTTTAAGTATATTCATGAACTTCAACAGATTAAGATCGGGTGATTGTGGGTGCAGTTCGACGACCAATCTGATATATAATATATATAGATAACATAAACAACCCCAATTAAAAACGAATCGTCAAATTTTTTCTTTTTTCACTCGCACAAAAACAATGGTGAACCGTTTTAACTTTCGGAAGTAACTGCAAATGAATCGAAAATGATCGATATTAAGGACATATGAAACTGAACGGTTATACAATCTTACTGTTGCCATACTATTACTGAAAGACATAATGTGCCAACTCCAAGAATAAACTACGGGGAACAAAACGATATTGTCAGTCTTACCGGAATTATCAACCATGTCCACATCTTAACCCTCCGCTCCAAGATTGATATCATTATAACACCCCGGGGCTCGGTGATTATTAATCACAAGTTAGAGCAATGTTGTTGTTGAAGCCTGTTGTAGATTCAGAGACGTAGAGTCGACCATCAATCGCGGGAATCCTCCTGATTACGGTAATTGTCACGTGTGAATACACGTGAAAGTTGAGAAGATCAGGAGCATGAACTGTAGATTAAGGATGGCAGTTACTTAAGTGCTCACTCTGGAAAAGTAATCCACTGAATTGGTACCAACTAAGTTAAGCAGCTGTTAATTTTATTCAGCGATATCATTTCATGGGTTCCTTAATGATCGTCTCAATGGCGTGAAAACAACTTTGATTTAATCAAATACCCTCCTAAAGGATCCAGCACATTCAGGATTCCTCTTCTGTAAACAGATATTGAATTTTAGGGCCCGATCAAAGGATTTGACCTAGCGTAAATTTTGATCAGACCGAGTAGAAATTCAATTTTGAGACGTACAATTTTGTTCAATCTATTGTGATGTAAAGCTGATACATTGTAGACCAGCTGCCACAGAAATTAGTTATTTAGATTTTGTTATGGTCTAGATTTTTGTGATTTATTATTAGCAATCAAAGTTCAGACATTTGTAACTGTAATAATTTCAGTCAAACATAATCACAAGAAAATTACATCTCACCGCTTACTGCACAATCGCTGTTCCTCTCAAAATCGACACATACAATATGCCACAAACATATCCGACACTACACCAAATGGTATTAAACTAATATTGACATGACATCGAGATATAGCAGATATCTATCGAAATCATAAGATTAAGATTAACTGCATAGTATAGTAACCTATAACCTATAACCTATTGGGGTTACAGCGCATAATATATCGTGACCTAGGCAACACAAAGGGCGCCCATTGTTGAGCTGATCTTCAACTACCTGGTTATTTCACAGGATTGACCGATATTAGCATCAAATCAAGAATATTAACCCATCTTTGGAACGGCTGATATCGTGGCGACATTAAATTTTAGCCGGCTTAACTTCACCGACACAGATACAATGTCCCCTGATTAATGGTCACCACTTTGGGCTGCTATAATCAAGAATTATCTAGACGTAAAGGAAGCTATCCCACCCTTTAATCATAGGATTGAGTTTGAGCGTTACTGGGGCCCGATGGGAACATTACACCAGCCTGTCAGCCTATTACAAGTACAGCAGATGTCTGATTAGATGGAGATATTTTCAATCCGTTCGTATACTGAGGGTTGTCCGGAGGTTGTTTTTGGGTGCTATAATGACTCCTAATTCATGAGGAGACTTTGCTCCGAGGTACAGAATAATTAGAAAACAGTATCTTTGCACACCCAGATACTCCAGCCTCCGCGCCGGCTCTGGTGGAGAATATTGTGCCATGTGCCGGGAAGAAGAAGAATATTCTAGAAAGTTTAAATTTAAGTCTTAGAAATAGAATTACGAAAGATGAAAGTCTGCATGTGCACACAAATAGGACATAACTCGAAGCGACCCGCTTTACTTGTGACTCGATTCGTTTTGGCTTTTTACAGCCATCAGGCCATCCACAAGGGAGTATCACATCAATAAATGTAATGGATTTGTAGTGTTGTAAGTTGTAATTAGCAAAACTATAAAACTGCTGAAGTATATATTTCTTTCAACGTTAGCTAACTTTCACAACAAAAGTCTTAAAATTAGTAAGCAAAATTATATCTTAAATGAGTAAATTTGCTACAGTTATTAACCATTTAGTACTGTAGTTCAAGAACTTGAATATACTTTACAGAATTCAGACGTCTTAATTAATTACTCTTGCATTGCAAACATTACTGTAGCGAGATTCGCAAGAATTAAGGAAAATGTCGAAGCCTCCGATTCCTTTCTAAAAAGTCGGATCAAAAGAAGCCACGAAAGTAAAAAGCAATCGTAAAAATTCTCTCAGAGAAGCAAACATTTGCTCCAACCAGAACCTAATATTACTACAATGATGTTTATAAGCAGAGAAAAGATAATTAGAGCTTTAGAGGATGGTACCAAGTGTTCATGTAAAGTTGACTGTTTGACAACGTTGTCATCTAATTGGTTACTCTAACCAAATGCAATATCAGCTGTTGATCTGGATAAAAATTCCTTCGCAAATCATTATTGGTGAAATCAGTGTTTTACTGTCGATTTAAAAAATAGTCATAGCTCATAATAATCATTTTAGCTATGATAATAGCCATGCTTGCGACTAAAACTTAAACTAAAATATCAGATTGCGACTAAATCCATCTATCAATTATACTCGATATGGACGCATATCATAAATCCTTATACTACCTTCAGCGACCTATAAGAAAAGAAGCTGTATCCTTTTAAACTAAAAACACACGGGTCTCCTGAAAAGATACACAAAAGAATATATAAAGGTCGAACTGCAATAATATCTAGAACAGTACACATGATAATATTAACATATCTTACCGAGAGCCTTAATAAAATAAGGTGCATCATCAGCTATTCAATCAGCGCCTCTGT